CGCTCAGGCCACGGCCACGGCCACGGCGCCACCCCCGCCGCAGAGCGGCCCACGAGGGACGGCGCCTCCTCTCCGCCGCTGGGCTCAGCTCCCGGACAGAGGCTCGGGCGGCGCCCCGGGCGCCGGAGGGCGCGGTTCCTACACGGCCGGAACGGAGCAGTCACCTGCCTAGCCGCACGCCCAGCTCCGCAACCCGGTCCTGCCCCCGGCGCCCAGCCCCTGGGATCTCTGGGGTACGCGCTCCCGAGTTCCCGGGGGGCCGATCGCTAGCCTTGCGGAGAGGCTAACAACACAGGGGCTAGGTGGATGGTGGGGAGCAGGAAGGGAAGAGTGGCACCTCGAAAACCAGGCACAGCCACAAGGAGGAGAGAGACCCCAGACAAGAGCAGGCTGGATAGACAGAAATGAGAGACCTGCGGGGCCCAGAAGGGCAGGCGGGTGCCCCAGCCCACGCGGCACCCGCACCCACTGTCAGCCCCGCCGCGTCCACACCTTCCCGCCGCCCGGACAGCGTCGGGCCGCAGCAGGGTCCCCGCAGCGCTGCTGACCTCCGCCCGAGGCACCTCGCAGTCGGTGCAGCCTCCAACAGTCCCGAGGAAGAAACGCCAAGTCGCGGCCAGACAAGGCCGCAAAGCCCTGCCAGGAAGGGCCTGGCCCTCGGGAGAAGCCAAGGCCACGGGCGCAGGTTAGCAGACCCGAGGGCGCTCCGCCGCCTGCGCCTGCAGACGCAGCCCTGGCCCCGCGGCGGCGCCCCTCGCCCTCCCGGGACCGGCAGCGCCTACCTTCTCCGCAGCCGCGGGGAGTCCGGACCCTGGAGCCTACCGGGCGGAGCCAGCGGGGCGGGGCCGCGGCGCTCGAGACTCACCTGCGGCCCGGCCCGGTGAGCTGCTCGGAGGACGGCCGAGGGACAGCCAGGCCTAGCAGCGCCTCGCACTCCGGCGGGACATTCCGCATCCCCGGCCCACGCTGACCCGGGCGGTCGGCCCAGTAGGGCCAGCCGAAGAAGAGAAAGCCAGAAACCTGTTCCCCTCTTCTCACTCTCCGGGAGAAATGCCGGTGCTGCCCACCTCACCCCTGCCCAAGGCTGCAGGGCCGGCCGGTGGAGTCAAGTGACAACGAAAGGGGGCTGGAGCCTGCTGGAATGCGGGGCCTGGAGCCGAGATTCTTAGGGGCCAGGGAGGGAAAACCCAGCGGTCAGGGACCCACCCAACAGCCAGCGCCAGGAGCCTACAGAGCCTGCCCTGCCACCCTGGACCCAGAGCCCAGCTCCCCACATATGCGTGGCCAGCCCAGGGCCACCAGGCCTCCTGGAACCCCAAGTCCCTCCACCACTGCCCCGAGGTGTGCCAGCCAGGGGTGCCCTGCCCTTGCGACCAGTGGCCTCTGCTGCCCAGGAAGGAGAGGATGTGAAACAGCCAGGAAAGTGGGAAGAGAGGGATTCAGGAGAGCCACTGTGGGCCACCCCGGGCAGCCAGGCAGGACACGCACATGTACATGCGCACACACACATGTTGCATGCCTATTCCCACCCCCTCCCTCTCGAGGCAGCTGCCTGGGGGGCAGGCTGGGTCAGCAGCTGGGGAGCATGCAGAACCAATGAGCCAATGATGGGGAGCCGGTGACGGGCGGAAGGGGCCTGGGATGAGCACAACGGGAAACAGACCTGGTGTGGGATCACGCACACCTCATGGGACAGCTAGGCAAAGGAAGAAGGGATGCCCTGTTAGGTGGGGTGATGGTGGGGGAACTCTGAGGCACAGGCTGGGGCAGCGGCCGACCAGGGCTTCAGGAGACCCCTGGCCAGAAAGAAGGGGCTGGTCCAGGGGAGCCTGTTAGGCACCGAAGGGAAGAGTGGGCAGGGGGAGGAGGGGTGAGGTAGGCTGGGGTCACAGAGCTTGGCCAGAGACTCACAGGATGGAGGATGGACAGCGGACTGCGAGGGGCCGACACCCGGGGCTGGACCAACTTCTGCTCCTCCCTTTGGGCCCCTGAGTCCCCTCCCACTGCACCCCCAGCACAGCCACCCGGCCCTTCTCACAGAGGAAGGGCAGGGCTCTTGGTCTTCTCCCTCTCACCTCTGGCTTAGGCCTTTCCTGGGTCCCAGTCACCCCAATCTTAGGCCTTTGGGGTTCCAGCTCTTGAGCTGCCAGAGGCTGCCTGGCTTTGTCCAAGCGCCCAGGGCCAGGGCCCAGAGCAGCTGCCCGGGCCAGCTGCGGCCCGGCTTCGCGTGACCATGGCAACCCAGCCAGCTCCCTTCGCTGAGCCTCTCGGCCCCCGCAGAGAGGGAGGGGACAGCCAGGCGGGAGAAAGGAGAGGAGCTGGGAACTGTGAGAGGGAACCAGAGGGAGCCCCCAGACAAAGGGACCCCAGACAAAGGCAGGCCGCGGAGGCCTGCGGCAGCGCTGAGAAGCTGTCGCTCAGGCAGGCAGCATTTGTCCTCACAGACGGCGAGATGGGGGTAGCAGAGAGGGGGCTGGGGGAACCAGAGTGGGAGAGGAGGGGTCAGAAGCAACCGCGGTGTCCTTTGGAGGCCTCCTTCCAGGTCCCCAACAAAGTCCTTCCCCCTCCCAGGGTTTGGCTCGGCATGGTGGGGAGAAGCAGAAGCTTAGCCAGTCATCCCCAGTTTTCACAGTGAGAGCTTCTCTGGGAGCACCAGGGCCAGGGGGTACCAGGGTCACAAGGCGCAGGTTCTAGAAGCCTCCTCCCCTGTTCAACTCTACTGTCACTCGGTATACCCCAGTGCAGTCTGGGAACTCCGACCCCAGAGCCCCACAGAGGTGACTGACTGGGTGGGTGGCTTGGGTCGGGGCCGGATACTGATGCCCCCTCACAGCTTAGGAGAGGAAGCCAAGCACCAAATGGCAAGGAGAAGCCTGACATGTGGACACCCAGCTGGACTCACTGGCCCGTGGTCCCCTCTACCGAGCTCCCTTGCACGCCGTGACCCGGCGTCCCTCACACACAAGCCTGTCGCTCCACCATCACTGGCTGCAGCCTGTGGTGGCCTTCGGAGAGTCACTTGGCTCTGGAGTGTCCCCTTGGTTACTCCCCCAGCCAGTATTATCACGCTCAGGCAAAGCTCTGACCCCAGCTGCGTGAGGCCTGCACACCTGCCCTGTGGCCCATGCCTCCTCGGATGATCACACTAGACACACTGGTGTAGACTGAGCTTTGAGCTATGGGAGATGGGCTTTCCTGTGTGCCGGTGGAGGGCGTCAGGAAAGTCGGAGGGGCCTTAGATCAGGATAAGATTTGCAGGAAGTAAAGCAAGCAAGCCCAGGGTGTCCCAGGCAGGGTGTGAGGCCAGCAGGGGCTGGACGCAGGTCCATAGGGAGCAAGACCAGAGGGACCCTCCTCCCTCTCCGCCGCAGCATAGCCTGTTTCCACGCAGGGGCTGAACCTGCCAGGCTAGGCCGGGTGTGTGTTCCTTTCCACACTGGCTTCCAGGATGCGCAGTTTAGGGTAGTAGCATTGGGAAAAGGGGGCATCAGGCCAGGCAGGTTCTAGCCCTGCGGGAGGGTTCTCCCTTCCCTGAGGTGGGTGTGGCCAGCGTTTCCTAAGAACAAAGGCGAGGTAGGGGCAGTTGGGACTTGCCTAAGTCACAGCAAGTTGGCTCTTCCCGCCTCAACTTCTCTGAAACCCACGCTCTGCTTTGTGAGCGGGTGAGTCCTGTGGCCCGGAGCCTTAGGTTTGGTGGGCTTTGCAGTCCCTGCAACAAACTGGGAGGCACCCACTGCACTGGTGACCCAGGCCTGCTGCTGGGACTGTGGAAGGCCACTCTAGGGCTTTGGTCTTTGTTGTTGTTCTGTTTTTGAGCCTGAATCTTGCTCTGTAGCCCTGGCTGGCCTCAAACTCACTGCGTGGCCTGGCAGGCAACTACGGTGTGCATCCACACCCAGGCAAGAAAGCCTGGAGGTCCCCAGGTTCCTGCAGGGTGAGTCAGGCAAGGTACCCTGAACTCAGCAGCAGAGATGTTGCCGGGTGGGGTCAGAGCCAGCCTCCCCTTGTTCCTCTGTCCCCAAAGAGCCCATTCTCTGTGGCATCCAGCCTGCTGAGCCCACTGGATCCAGCTCTGTCTCAGCTCCGCGACTCCCCCACCCATCTGAAAGGCACCCACTCTGGGATGGGAAGGGATTGGAAAAGCTGGGGTGTCTGGCGGAGCTGGGGTCAACCCGCATCTTCCCGCACACACGCACGGTGCCTCGGAGCTGCAGCCTCAGCCTAAACCTTGGTCCTTTTGACTCCAAAACTGAGCTAGACTCACTCAACAGAGTTCTGAGGGGCTCTGTAATCCCTGCTCCTGCAGAGCCATGGAGCTCTGGGTACACGGCCCTTAACTTTTCTAACTTCTTTCATCTCACAGGAGTACTGGCACCCAAATCATTCTGGTTTATATGCAGAGAATGTACCGAATCCAAAGTTGGCAAATGAACACCCAGCGTGGTGACACACACCTACTATCTTGGCTCAGGAGGCTGAGCAGGAGTACCACGGTTCCAAACCCAGCCTGGGCTACATCGTGAGCTCAAGCTAGCCTAAACTACATAGCGAAAGCCTGTCCCAGAAAAATAGAACAAAACAAATAAAAGGCCAATGATTTACTTACAGCCACATTGGAAGTTAAACCAGGGCTAATCCTCCTCAGAAGAGAGTCTCTGGATGCCTGGAGAACCACGAACTCGCCTGTGAGAATAATTACTTCTCATGTCCTGGTAATTTTTTTGTCCCCCCAGATCCGGGGATTGAACTCAGGCCCTTGTGCTTGCCAGGGAAGTGCTTATTCTACTGAGCCATCTCCCTGGTCCTTGTCCTGTTAATTTTTGAAACGGTTTTGAGCACAGGTAACTGGTCCCAGCCTGTGTGTGCGGGTCTGATCCACACCGTCCACCCATTCAGAGTTTCCACTGCTGCGGCTGCCTGCGGGGGGGGGGGGGGGCTGCAGCAAGCCTGGCTGTTCCCAGGGCTGGGAACACACGGGAAGAGGGCACCTGCATCACATGGTGCAGCCAAGCACTGGGAACCTGTCCCAGGCCCGCGCATGCTGCCCGCAGCAAGTTCCAGCAGAAAGACAATCCTATCTATCACTTTAAATGCATGTTGGGCTGGTGAGATGGCTCAGTGGTCTAAAGCACCTACTTAGAACAAGCTTAGCAAAGCACAGAGACCGCGGTTCAATCCCCCAGCACCACATGCCAGCCAGCCCCGCCCCCTGGTGGGCTGAGCTGGCCACATACACACAAAATAAATAAATAAATAAATAAATAAATAAATAAATAAAATTTATAAATAAATAAATGCATGTTAATGTTTGAACTGCCTTCCCACTTTCGTTTGTATTCACTGCTGCTTTGCTTTGGTTGTACAGTTCTTAAATACCGCAGCAGGAGCTCCGGGTAGCTGGGCCGGCACAGCTGCACCCACTTGCCTTGTGTTTCCCAGAAGTGAGGCTACCGGAAAACCATCCACCTGGAAAACTGGCGCTCAAATTCGCCCTCCCCAGCAACCTCTCCTGGTCCCACCTGCCTCAGACAGCAGCCCGAGCAGGAGGACAGTGAGGTGTGGTCAGCCAGACATCCGCCATCACCGAGGTAATGACCGACTAGGGCTTATTTTCAGGGAAACATGAAATTATAGAAATAGCTTAAGTCCATGAAAATTGTTTTCCTCCAACAGTGTTCATCCGCATAGCAGAACTAAGCCAAAATTTCAGGAGTCCCCAAGAAAACCTGCCATAAATAAGTAAATACAAGCCCGAACTAGGCCTTCACACGCAGGT